CATCATTCATGTCACATGGAAACTGATGTTAGCTGCTAAAGTGGAAAGAACATTGCTCTTGGGAGTCAGAACATTTAAGGCTGAGCCCAAGACAAAGCATACAAAAGCTGTGACATCTTGGGTTACTCATTTGACCTCCCCCGTTCTTTTCAGAAGACAGAAATAGAAAATTCTGCATCTTGCTATTTGAAACCCTGACAATATAAAGAGCCTAGGTAAAGAGGTCAAAAGAGCAACTCAACAGTGAAGTGGACCAGGAGGCACAGAGCTGACCTAAGAGCACCTTGGTCTTTATTCTGGCTAAAGTGGGAGAAAAAACACGTTCCTCCTCAGCTACAATACTACTTTCAACATGGGCTATAGAATAAGATGTTTTGTAAACATAATTTTTCAGCAAAAAGTGACTATAAACAATAAGAAAAAAAGAGGATGATGAAACACATGAAGAGGATGACAAGGAGAAAACTGATGAAGAAGAATCAAGTGATGAGGATGATGATAGAGATGGTGATGATGTTGATGATTAAGTTGTAGGGCCTTGTGGGACATGGTAAGGATTGTACCTTTTGCTAAGAGCAGATTGGGAAGCTCTCGGAGATTTCTTAGCAGAGGAGTGACCTTCTCCTTTCAATCAAACAGTATGCTGTGTAGAGAATCGACTGAGAGAGGAGTGGAGGAGAATTCAACAACAACGACCGATACAGGGGAATGAGTTAGAAGACTATTGCAACAATCTGGGAAAGACATGATGGTAGCTTGGATTAGGATGGTGGTTAGTGCTCTACATGGTCAAAAGTGGGCTGATTCAGGACCTATTTTGATGGTAGAACCATCAAGATGGTAGCTTGAATTGGCTATGTAAACAATATATCTGGGTTAACCAGTTTGAGGGTTCAAATATATCCCCCTAAAATGGCAGCCCAAATTACAACTCCAAGTCTCCATTTGACCAAACTGACAAAAACCCTGGATCAGCTTTCTCCTCAAATGTGACCTCAAACCCTACGGGTACTTTTCATTAGTAATCTCTTCTAATGCTCTCAATATTCACTAGTGGTACTGGAATACCGTCGAATCGCCTTCAGGGACAGTAAAGTCCACAACTGCTGCCGTGTTGCTGGTGGTTCTTTCCTTAAGCCAATCCCTACCATTTCCATGGTACTTAATCTTCTGAGTTAAGCTTCTGACTTGATTGCCCTTTGTACTCTACCTGGCCATGCTAAAAGTCCCTCAGGATCTTCTGCAATGGGGGCCACCCTAAATCCCCATGCAGAACAAATTCTCTACATTCACTCTTCCAGATTCCCATCAGAGGATATCTATCCTGCATAATAGGCGCTCAATACAATCACTTACGGGACATATCATAATGTCTACGAGGTACAGGAGGTTGGCTTGATGGTGGACCATTGGGTGATTTGCACACTGGTTTCAAGACCCCCACACAAGGCTGAGTTGCAGTTTATACGAAAGGGTCCATTAACAGGACTTGAGTGGGAAGAAGAGATGGTAAGAATTAATTTTTTGAGCTCATACTTCCAGTTAGGCAATGGAATTGTCTTATGTGATCGACACGAGGAAAAATGGTAAGGTGAAAAACTGAGAGATTAAATGAGTGACCCAAGATCACACAGTTAGAATGTCAGGAGAAAGGAATCTGAGTCCACTTCCCATGTACGTACATGACATTAAGGGAACTGATGATGATAGCTATCTCTTAACTGATCAAAGGAGACAAGATCCTCACCTTCCTCCATGTGCAAGGATAATGCCACCTCATAATATTCAGAAATTCATATTTACAGAAGTGAGTAGGATGGAGGCATGAGCAGACAGCAAAAGCAGGGAAAACTCAGGGTTCCTAGGAGAAAAGGAGGGGCTCTTTCTTTCTCCCCATCTGGCAGGCAAAGCACTATTCGTTGCAGCTGGGGAATGCCCTAAGAGGTAGGTTGAGAAATCCACTGAGGGCAGGATCTGATGCCTCTGCATCTTTCCCTGGGTTATCTGATTTTTCTTTCTCTCATCCCTCTTTTTCTGTCTTGGCAAGTGTCCCTCACTAGATTTCAGAAGAGGCCATCAGAGTCCCTTATATATTCTCTTACCCAAGGAGGAGCCAGTTGGAGGAAAGGATCAGGGAGAAAATGCCGCGTAGGAGAGACCCAGGACCCAGCTGCCCTCTCTCTGTAATCAATGGATTAGATATGGATTTGCTCACTCCATAGGACTTTAGTCAAAGCTGGGAGTATATCTGGAAGGAGGGAGAGGCAAGTGAGGCGCTGAGAGAGCAAAGTTTAAGCGTTCCCTCACTCTCAAGAACCCTTGTACCCTAGCTGCCTCTCTTGCCCCACCCCAGTCCCAGTGCTGGGTGGGCCCCTGGGTGATTGGCTCTCTCTAGTACCCCTGGGGAGGTCTGAGTGACTTCCTGCCCCTTCAGTTTATTAATAATAAGACTAGAAGTTTTCAAATGGAACTGAAGTCAAGAAACTGTCAGGAAAAAAAAAGAAACATGGAAGCCTAGAGAAGTCAGCTTACAAAGAACATTCATTGATCACTTCACAATCTTTCGTGTTAAAAGCAACCATTTCTGGGAATTGACATGAGACTGAGAAATGGAAGCAAAAGTCTTTTGTCAGCGCTGGGCGTTGACTTGAGAAACAGGAGCAGCTGTGTTGTGGAATGAACTTGTTTGTGCATCTGATCTTGAGGCCATAGGATTGCTTCATCCCCTTCCTCTATTTATACAGCACTGACTGAGATCTTATTATATACAGAAAATGGGCTCCCACTGTGAGAGAATCTGAGGTGGATCGGACACAGACTTTATCATGGCTAGACTGAGGGCGCAGTAATAGAGAGACATAGGCACTGAAAAAGGACCCAGCATAAGACTGCAAAATACTCCCCCAAGAACTGTAAGATGGTGGGACTCAGGAATCATCAGAAGTTCAAATTAAACACTTAAAGGAGCTACAATGCAATAGCAGAGCATACCCATCACAATGGTTATAATTCACAAGAGAAGAATTAACAAGTGTTAGAGAGGATGTGGAGTAAGGCAAACTCTCATACACTGCTGGTGGGGATGCAAACTGCTGCAGCCACTATGGAAAGCAGTATGGAGATTCCTCAAAAAATTAAAAATGGAGCTACCATATGATACAGCTATTCTACTTCTGAATATTTATCCAAAGACCACAGAAGCACTAATCTGTGAAGATATTTGCAGCCCTATGTTCATTGCAGCGTTATTCACAATAGCCAAGACTTGGAAAGAACCTAAGTGCCCATCGATAGATGAATGGATAAAGAATATGTGGTATATGTACGTAATGGAATACTACTCAGCTGTAAAGCAGGTGAAATCTTCCATTTGCAGCAATACGGACAGACCTTGAGGGTATTATACTAAGCGAAATAAGTCAGACAGAGAAAATCAAATACCATGACTTCACTAATAAATAGAATATAAAAACAACAGCAACAATAAACAAATACAGAGACAGAGATTAGATTGGTGGTTATCAGAGGGGAAGGGAGGGAAGTGGACAAGAGGAGTGATAAGGCATATGTGTACGGAGATGGATGGTAATTAGTCTTCGGGTGGTGAACACGATGTAGTCTACACAGAAATCAAACTATAATGATGTTCACCTGAAAAAAAAAGATGACTATGACAGAATTGACACAGAATATGACACCTGTGGAGGTGGGACTTTGAGGTTTGGGGGATGGGAGACTTCCTATGAACAAGCAGACAGCTACAACACATCACAGTGTGATAGGAGCGTTACAAGAGTGTGAAGTAAGTGCTGTGATAGCACAGCACAGAAGAGTTCAGTAGAGGTCAATGCAGGTAGAGTCGTGTAGGTGGACTGGGAGGAGGAGGGGGAAATATGCAACAATGTGGGTAGGATTTCTCGAGGAACTGGAAAAAATATGTATGAATTTCACCTGGAAGAACATGTATGTGTCAGACATACCAAGTTTGATCTAGAAGAAGGATAATGACGCAGGAGGTAAAGATCCACAAGCAATGATATAATGAATTCAATCATGGAGAAAGACAAGAAGTGGCAAAACAAAATGCTTTACCAGGGATGTAGGTTTAAGGGAAAACTTAGAGATAACATTACTAAAAAGACAGAGAACAGCGAAGTTCCCTCTGTCTCATCATGAACACACAATATGCTTTTAAGAATTTAGTTTACTTTGGGCCGGCCTGTGGTGCAGCATTAAGTTCGGGCACATTCCCGTTCGGCGACCCAGGGTTCGCCGGTTCGGATCCCGGGTGCAGACACGGCACCACGTGGCAAGCCACGCTGTGGTAGGCCTCCCTCATATAAAGTACAGGAAGATGGGCATGGATGTTAGCTCAGGGCCAATCTTCCTCAGCAAAAAGAGGAGGGTTGGCAGCAGTTAGCTCAGGGCTAACCTTCCTCAGAAAAAATAAAAATAAAAATAAACAAAAAGAAGAATTTAGTTCACTTTGTGTTGAATCATCCAAATCAGCTAATAGAATGTTGGAAACTTTGTTAATTTTCAAATCAAACACTGTGGAGAATAGCTAATTCTGGCATAAAGGTCTTTTACAGGAAATGAAAACTCACGTTATTTGCACTGGGAGCATGCTTCTCTCTTTGTTCTTAGATGACTTGAGAACTAGAACAGCAAGACAGTTAAAGCACTTTCTCTGAGGAAGAAACTCTAATGTGCCTGTGTTTCTTCTTCCAAATTCCTTCCCTATGCTGTTTTTGCTGTGTTCATTATCTTGTGCTCACCCACTCCCACCTTTGTCCACACACACACACACACACACACACACACACACACACAGAGATTAATGTTAGTCTTCTATCTGTGGTAAATTTAAAACACAAAGGAAAGAAAAAAAGAAAGAGAAAAAGAAAGAAAGAAAGAAAGAAAGCAAGAGGGAGGGAGGGAGGAAGAAAGGACAAGGAAAGGAAGAAAGATGATTCCTTTTAATCAGGTGGTTTATTTTTTAAGGAAAAATGAAAGTGAAACCAGTTTTTCACTTCTTGCTCAAAGGATAAATTGAGCTCTCTCTGCCACACAGGAAGCCAAAGTCTGGGCTGGAGACAGCAGCCGGCCCGGCTCAGGGAAGGAATCTGCTTTGCCTTCTCTCTGGTTTCTCTCCAGCAAACTGAGAACAGGAGCCTGGCCTCAAGGAGACAGGTAGGTGAAGAAAAAGAAGGGAAATGGGGTAGACAGAGAGATACAATGACAGATTCAGAGGCTAAACTTGAAACAGAAATTCGTAGAAATAACCATAGTGAATTGTGAGAGACCAGGCAGATTATGAACACAAATATGAATCCACCGTCGTCATTCTTCCAAAAAGCAGCTACAAATCAGGGGAAAGGGAGTACAGCATCTAAACACACAGCTAAACAATTTAGTAATTTGTATTATGAAAGAAAAGTAAACCCAGACAGAGGTAAAAGGAGCCTTTGCTTGAAAGGATTATTGCAATGAAGGGAAGGAGACTCTTGCAATAGGGAAAACAATCCACCTGTAGGGCTGCCAGCATCTCAAAGGCCAGGCAGAAAGGAATTTTCTTTATGGGGAAGTGTCAACGGGGCCAGAAAGACAGGCTATGGAGGGAGTAGGATCATCAGGGAATGTTTTTCCCTGAGGCCCGCAGATTCTTAGGAGGGAGCATTTAGGGGGTTGTGTGCTAGGTCAGGAGGAGCTGGGTCACAATCAGGGGCCTGGAGAAAGGAGAGAAGCTTAACTAATGTTCAGTCAACTTACAAGCACTTTGTTTCAATTGAGCAGTAGGGACAAACAGCCCAGCTAATCTTTTATGAGGCAACGAATGGGAATTTAAAGGGTCCCTGTTTGGCCTCATTATAGGTAAAAATGGGGAAGAAGATTGAGTCCTATCTAATTCAGTCATATGTGGATGAGTGGTTTTCTGCTCTCAGCCATTTCTCAGAACACATAAGGGTGGATGGATTTCTTTAAGGATCGTGGTTGCAGGAGTAAAAGGCTAGAAAAGGTTAACACTGTTATTATGATTCATGTAAGTAACAGGTGCTATTGCAAGCACAAAGAAGAGAAGTAATAACTCCACCTGAAACGCTGATGGAAGGCTTCACAAATAAGAAGAAAATTGAACTGCGTCAGGAGTGATAATTGGCTGTCCTAATAATCAAATTTCCATAAGACAGATTAACAGGAGAAAACTAAAATTAAGTGTATGCATATCGGAGCCCCACAGAGACATGAAGACTCAAAGACAGTCAGGCAATTGAAGCTCATATGCCATCCTGAGCTAAGGAGAAGTGGGTAGGAGTCTGGGTTTCAAAGGGCAGGAAGATTCCATGCAGATAATTCTTTCTGGTATAAGAGTTATCTCTGGTAACAGCACCCTTCCTGGTACAGACATCCTATCTAAATTCTTGTAGGCAGTTAAGGGAGAAGAAAAAAGCTTTTCCTGAGTCTGTTGGGTCTTAATTGGCTTCACTCAACACAATCCACATGCCAAAGTGCCACATTTTGGGGTGGCATACTCTGCTCCCCCTAATTATACAAGGTTAGGAAAACTATGAGGTTGAGGAAAGATGACAGAGTGTAGTTGCTAAGGAAAGAAAGTGAACTAGAAGGTAGGAAAAGGAAAAAGAGTGGTTGTGAAAGGCAGTAGGCTAATTGTTCCACATTAGGAGGGGTCTTGAACCAGGACCAAGTAATCTGATCATATCATAAACCAATGAAGAATTTTCAAAGTTTTGCAAACAAGTAAATGATGTAAATATGAGTTTCAGGATGTAGCGTGAAAGATGAACCACAAGAGGGAGAGAGAGAACTGACAAAGAGCTTCTCAAACAGAGCAGTCAAACAAATAGGGCACACTAATGCCCCACATTTGATAGGAACCCAACAGGGACCACAGTTTTGGGGAAGAATTAGGAAAAATGGGCTTCTAAGAAATAAAACGTGCCCACATCACCATTTCCTCATGAAAATTGGGTGGATTCCCCCAAATGGCTAGAGCCAGGAATTTAGGATGAGTTTCTAATTGGAGAAGCCGTTCTCCATAGTTAGTCCAGCAACTCCAAAGAGCAGCTCCAAATACAAATGGAATAAGATCTAGGCTAGGAGGCAGAGCCTAAGAGGAAAGCTAAATTTATTTAAATTTTTTATTGAGATGTAATTCACATATGACATTATATTAGTTCCAGTTGTACAACAAAATGATTCCATATATGTAAATATTGCAAAATGATCACAGAATAAGTCCAGTTAACATCCATCACAACAGATAGTTATAATTTTTTTCTTGTCATGAGATCTTTTAAAGTCTAGTCTCTTAGCAACTTTCTAACTTACAGTACAACGTTATCAACTACAATCACTGTGCTATACATTACATCCCCAGGGTTCATTCATTTTATAACTAGAAGTTTGTACTTTTGACCTCATTCACCCATTTTGCCTGCTCCCTCACCCCCACCTCTCCCCCACCCCCGCCCCAGCAAACACCAATCTGCTCTCTGTATCTATGAGTTTCGTTGTTTTGTTTTTTACTTTCCACATACAAGTGAGATCATATGGTATTTGTCTTTTTCTGCCTGACTTACTGCATTTAGGACTCAAGGTCTACTCGTGTTGTCACATATGACAGGATTTCCTTCTTTAATGACTGAATAATATTCCAGTATTTATTTACCACATTTCTTTATTCATTCACCCATCAAAAGCCATTTAGGTTGTTTCATGTTTTGGCTATTGTAAATAATGTTGCTGTGAACATGGGAGCGCAGAGCTTTCCGAGTAAGGGTTTTGAGTCCTTCAGATAAATAACCAGAAGTGGAAGTGCGGGATCATTTCATTTGATGGAAAATAGAAAAGATTGCACACTGCAAGAAAAGCCTAAAGCAGCTCATGATTAGCAGCAGAGTCACAATTCTTCAAACACATGTTTTGTTTTGTTTTGTTTTAAAGATTTTATTATTTCCTTTTACTCCCCAAAGCCCCCCGGTACATAGTTGTATATTCTTCGCTGTGGGTTCTTCTAGTTGTGGCATGTGGGACGCTGCCTCAGCGTGGTCTGATGAGCAGTGCCATGTCCGCGCCCAGGATTCGAACCAACGAAACACTGGGCCGCCTGCAGCGGAGTGCGCGAACTTAACCACTCGGCCACGGGGCCAGCCCCCAAACACATGTTTTTTAACTGCATGATCAAAAGTAGCCTCAAGATGCTCTTCATCCCGTTACATGCTTATTTCTTTCTAAGCAATAAAACAATCTGTGATTATTTTGCTTATTCAAGTATTGACAAGTTCATGGTCTGCTTCCCACCACTGGAATATAAATTCTCCAAGGATAAGGATCTAGCCTGTTTTACTCATCAATCAACACACAGCACCCAGGATGTTCCCCAGCATGCTGAAAGCCCTCAATAAATATGTGTGGAATAAATACTGGAATTTTTAACACATGTTGCCAAGCCTCTGATCCATGGTAGTTGTATGATGAGTTTGCATAAAAGTACATTATCAGGATGGGTCCAAGAGAGGAGAGAGAGTCAACAAAGAGAAGCTCCCCACATTGAGCAGGATAGAAATGTTGGAGAAGTCCCCTGGACTGGGTAGTTACAAGGTGACTATCAGGCTACAGAGAATTTTTTCAGAAAAAAGTGAGGGCAGAAGTCAGACTAAATAGTGAGAAGTGGATGGGGTGTATTCATCAATTCATTTCATCAATAAACATTTATTGAGCCAGAAGTGCTAAATTTCAAATAATTGTTTGAGAACTCTGGCAATAAAGGAACATAAAGAAGATAAAAGTTTATAAAAGAGGTGGGATATAATCTGCATTTAAATAAACTGTGAAGACTTGAGCATGTTTTCTTGTCCAAAGTGAGCAATCGTGAAAGTAAGATACTCCAGATATTTTAGACTCAAGATACAGAAAACAAGAGCCAAAAGGAGGTGAGTAGGAGACGGATTTAGAGGACAGAGTTGGTATTCAAAGAGTTTAGGGACATTTCTTCCCTAAGGACCAAAGGGAAAAACACAAGGATGGAATTTGATCTTATTTTGAAGGTGGAAATGTCTGAAAGTGAGAAAGGTGAGACCACATGGCTTCTGCATTCTGTAGAATTAGAAAGTGAGGTCACCAAAGGTGAGAGGAACCTCAACGAATGCCGTTTGATGTAATCTTCCCCGTACTCGTAGACCTCTTCTCTATGCTTCCTAACTCTAGGTTCAAGGGACCCTCTCAGACCTTTTCTTATTTATCTCTCTAACTCTATTGTCTAGCAAAGCGCCTGGCACTTGGCAGATCAATAAGTGTATATAAATTAAATGTACAATTACCAAGATGTGATGTCTGGATTGTGGGGAGTGAAGGAGATAAAAGAGTCAAAGTAGACTCTCACTGGGACTGAGACACTTGGAAGATGGGAATAGGATGAGAGTGTTGAGAAAACAAAAGGAAAAAGAGGTTTGGGAAGAAGGTGGTGAGTGCAAGTTGGGATGCACTGATTTATATTCCACCTCATGGGCCCCTTCTGCTGAGAACCACATCTCTGTCTCAGGCTGGCCCTGGACTCGTTTCATCCCAGGGCACCCAGAAGTTCAACTTTCTTCTCCTTCTGCTTCTCCTCCTCCTTCTCCTCCTCCTCCTCCTCCTTATTCTTCTCCTTCTTCTTCTTCCCCTTCTTTCTTCTTCTTCTTTGAGGATGATTCACCCTGAAATAACATGTATGCCAGTCTTCCTCTGTTTTATATCTGGGTGGCTGCAATAGCATGGCCACCGCCAAGTGTGTAGGCCTGCACCTAGGAACCAAACCCAGGCCACCAAAGCAGAATGGGCCAAGCATAACCACTAGGCCATTGGGAATAAACAAGTTTCTTGTTTATTCTACTTAATTATCCATGAACACCCTCTATGCACTTGTCTGTTACTGGTCCAGGTATCAGTTCAATTCCTTTCTGCCTTCAGAACAATGCCTCATGCTTCAACTATCCCTAAGGGATTTACTTCTAATCACTGGATATGACAACAAAAATGTACAAAGCAGGGAAAGTGAAAAATTCTCCTCCTGAATGTGGCTTCAGAATACTCCAGGTAACGTCATAGAAGCCTCACTACTCTGGGGGCTAATTAGAAAAGTTTGTGGGTAAACTGGTCTCAGGAATGGATGTCTAAGTGTGAGCATATACTCC